GTCAAAAACACAGACACCTGAGAACCCTGGGTGGGTCTTTTGTGTAAGGACACACCTTCTCCAGGTGCTGATGGGTCTGCTGGGCACTGCAGCCTGCTTCGCACATCAAAGTGTAGGCGCTGTTCATCAGTACCTGTACAAGGTTAGCTCACACGATGCAGGAAGAACTTGGTGATGGAAAATGAGTCACAACAGCTTTTACTTGGTAAAAGGTCATAAGTTTATTACTGAGGTAAAGACAGAATGTGGAAGATTTGTGTTGCTGAATTATACAAACTTTCAGAGAACAAAAGATGAGAATTACCAAGAATTAAATACCACCTAAGTTCTTCTGGAAGCTGAACAGTGGAAGTGCAATGTTTAGAACTTCTGTGTATAATTTTAAAAAAGGCTTTTTGATGGATTCTCACTGCTAACCCCAGGTGATTGAGCAATTTAGAACACCTTTAAAAGGCTGACTTTGGTCAAAGGGAACACCTAGCGTTCTGACTTTAGTTTTTACAGAGGCATTTAAAAATGTTTAAGTAAACACTGCTGTCTCCTTAATTTGTCAATAGGCGACAGCAGGGTGTGTGTGCATGCGTTGTGTAATATTCACGTGGCTGGGAAGGACTGCATACTTGCCTTTAGAGCTTGCATTTACTCTCAAGTACTCTAGGTGTGTGGCTATTACTCAGCTCCTACACCACCCATGAGAAACTCCATTTTGATCACACATTAGCTGTTCAAAGAAAACAAGCATAATAATGTGAGCCAGTCTTTTGACCTGGGTTTGGAATACAATGATTTTATGTCATAACTCTAAGTACTTAAGGAGGAGACAGTTTTTCTCAAAACGTAGCCATAGCATCATAAGCATATGTAAGAGTCTCCTCCGCGGCCCTCTGTGTATGTGCATGTGTGTGTACCTGACCTGAGCATGTGTGTGCAGACCAGCATGTGCACATGTGGATAAATCTGTGTGTCCGTGAGTGTGTACATGTGTGTACATGTTAGCCCGTGTATCTGTGTGAATGGTTTCACTCTATCACACAAAAGCCCCCAAACATTTAAAGTTGGACTGTGCCGTTTCCTTAGGTAATCTTTTCTCCCAGTCAACAGTCCCTGTGGTCCCAATCGTTGCTATCTTGATGTGGTTTTAGACCAACTCTGCTGGTCCTTGCTAACAGGGAAATAAACATCTACTGGAAAATGCAGGTGCTGGAAGGAGACATTCCTCACACTGTGAGCTGACTACCCAGTAGAAGGGTACGTTTCTCCCCATACACAAATCGAATTTCTAAACTTTCATTTATCAAATGAGGTTTTTGAAGATTTATTATCATCATTTATTACAATGTATTCAATTTATATCCCCACTGTAAGCCCCTCCCTCATCTCCTAATTCCACCATTCCTCCCTCTTTCCCCCTATGCCCCTCCCCTAGTCCACTGATAGAGGAGGTCCTCCTCCCCTTCTATTTGACCCACTTTGGAAATCAATCTGGTGCCTCCTCGGAAAGTTAGGAATAGTGCTACCTCAAGATCCAGCTATACCACTCCTAGGCATATATCCAAAAGATGCTCAAGAACACAAGGACATTGCTCAACCACGTTCATAGCAGCTTTATTTGTAATAGCTGGAGTCTGGAAACACCCAGATGTCCCTCAATTGAGGAATGGATACAATTGTGGTACATTTACACAATGGAATACTACTCAGCAATTAAAAACAAGGAAATCATGAAATTTGCAGTCAAATGGTGGGAACTACAAAAGATCATCTCAAGTGAGGTATCCCAGAAGCAGAAAGACACACATGGTATATACTCACTCATAAATGGATATTAGCCATATAAAACAGGATAAACATACTAAAATCTATAGTCCTAAAGAAGCTAACCAACAAGGAAGACCCTAGGGAAGTTGCTCAAATGCGTTTTTTTTTTTTTTTAAATCATCATTTTAACTTACATCTTCTACTTTAAAGATTTTTCCTATTAAATTTCCAATATTTAAATATTAACAACTGAGTTCATTTTTCCAAGTAAAGCAGAGACCCACTTCAAGTAAACATATCATTATGCTTTTTATTATTATGTTACTTATGATTAAACATTTTACAGATCTCCTCTGTCCCCTACCAATTATTTACATCAAAGTTACTCCAAGCCCACGAATTTTGGGCAGGGAGTGACTCGTGTGATATATTCCTTATAATAAAATTAAAATTTTTATTCCTATCTAGACAAATTTAAGTGCCAATAATACAAAATGAGTGGTCTAAACCTGAGTACAATGAGGCAGCCTTCACATAAGTGTGAACACTGATTGCCGCAATAAGAAAAGAGTGATCCATTCTCACCAGTTTTCTTTCCAGACCACTCCTCGCAGGCTCCCCTGCCTTCTAGCTCTGACCAAAACAGTACTCAGTCCATTTCTCTCACTATAATTTACATCTCCTACAAATTTTTTTAAGAGTTTCTAAGTTTTAATGTATTGATAATAAAAGCAATTATCACAGATTTTTCTGAGACATGCTTTGGGGGAATAAATATTTTTTTCTTGATAAGTACAATCAATTTTGTGGAAAAAAAAATGATGACCTATTTACTAAAGCATAACAAAAAGCAGAAGTTATATTTTGATACTGTAATCCATATTGCATTTACATTTGAAGAAAATACAAAATACTTAAATATATAAATATACATTCAATATATTATCTGAAGTTCATTCAATAGCAAATTTTTCATTTTTTTCAGAATTGTTCTCAGTGTACAGACATTAATCGTCGTTGTTATAATTTACTGCTCTTTTGTTTGTCTGCTCTATCTTAGGTGCTTTTACAATTATTATTTTCATTTTGGTTCTGGGGCTCAAACCCAGGCCCTTGCACGTGTGTTGCTCCTAGGCTACGTTCTCATTCTCTCTGAACAGTAGTTCTAAATGTCTACTTCTGGTGGTTGTCATTACAAATAAATGTGACTGAATTGGAGTATTTATGTTCTATCCTGTAACCGTGCTAGTTTAGTTTTCAGTTCTAGTACCTTTGTGGAGACTCTTGTGGTTCTCTACATAAACAGTTAGGCTATCTGTAAAATGAAGATGTATGCTCAGGTCACAATGTGTGGGCGCGTGCAGTGAAACCGCCTCCATTTTCCAGCCTCTCTGCTTGGTGCAGCCATGCTTGTTACTTTGTAGCATGTTATAGAACTAAAATCTGTTTTGGAAGAGATTACACACACGTGCACTCCCATGCACATGTTAATGAGTTCTGTCGCCCATCCCGTCTCTGCACCCACATTCAGTGACTCAATTTTCTCATGACACTCTTATTGTTTGTTTACTCGCCTGATAGATTTGTCAGAAATTACGAAATTTACATTTGGAGTGCCACATATTTGTTTGTTTCCTTAAATATTTTTACGCTGGTGTGGAATACAGTCCATTTAACCTATTTAAAGTCAGTCTGACTCTTCCGACCCTGGCACTGAACTTTCGGTGTTGGTGTAGCTGAAGTGACAGACGTCTGAGCACCCCACCTCATGTCTTATGGTTTAAAAACTCTTCCTGTTCAGTGGAGAACACAGATTACACTCCATCCTGAAAAGTCTCCTACAATTGTTCGTGTGCTTCTTTTTCACAGACGTTCACACACATGTATGCTCCAATCGACACTCAACTAAAAAATCCAAGAAGGGCCCATCTCCTCTCTGGAGCTCAGTTTGCAGATTCCCGTTTACTACTGTTGGTGCCAGCTGTGCAGACCCAAATTATCTGTCCCCAGTTCAGGGAGACTGCTGGGGTCTGTGCAAATCTTTTAACCACTAAAAGGCTGGATACATTCTGAGATATGAGCTTGAAAGAACAATCTGTGGGACCCATGTCCCTTGCAGTTTATGTTCAGTGTCTCAAAAGCACTGTTTCAAAGATTTCATTCCCTTTCTTTTCTTAAGCCTGAATGTGAAACCCAATCCATGTTACCGTGGCTAAAAGTAAAAGCTTAGTTGGTGGTCTTTAAATGAACTCAGGGCCATAACCACTGGCACTGTGCAACTGCAGACTGTACTATGAACTCCTAGACTTGAGCAAAATGGCAGCCATGATTACACTGCCTAGTCATACTAAGCTGGTGATGGCCTCTGCTTAGAAATGCTGGGATTGTGCTGTTATGTGCTGAACAAATATTCTCATCAAATCAGTATCATACATAATTCTATGATTCCTACAACAGAACTGCAGCACAATTGAAGTAAATGCCTACAGTTTTCAATCAAAAGCACCTAAATGCCATTTACAACAGTTTCAGTGAGTAAATACAATTGGATTCCACAGTCTCCCATATCTGGTGTGTAAGGTAGGCAGACATATACCTTTATGAAGAAAATAAAGGTTAAAAGTGAAAGACTTCTGATGGCCAGAAGGACCGCTGTGAGACACTGTCTTCTGGAAACAGCAGGGGTGCTGGTCCCCTAACTCTCAACAACACTGTAGCCTGCACAAGAGCACACCATTACAACATGGAAGGAGAGAATGCTCACAAGGCCCCACCCCAAGCTGAGTTATAGGCGTTCAGTGGCAACTGAGGGAAGGAAGACAGGGAGGAAGGGTTAGTTTCCTCCTGGGACAAGAGGTTGCGCAGACCTAAGTGATCAGCCATGAACTGCTGCAGATATAGCCAGCACTAATTAGACTTGGTGGATCTTTGTTGTTGTTGTTGTGGATGTACTTACAAAAGAAAAGGACATGCATTTGAGACAGGAGTAAAAGAAAAGGTAGAAATGATATAATACACTGTACTTACATAAGACATGCTAAAAAAAAAAAAACCCTATAAAACAAAGAAAATCTTACTGAAAAAGTATTTTCAAAAGAAGTCCTGGTAGCAGGGAAAGTAACATGCTAACTCATACAATGCATATGAACATTTTAACATATCTAGTTATATTTCAGAAGGGTCTCCTTACATTAATATACAGGCTAATTGTGTCGATAACAAAATAAAAGGAATGTACTTACTCATCTAATTCTTCTTCACTTTTCGAAGTATCAGCATAAAGGTACTTGCTCATGTCCACAGGTCTTAGGTTTTTTCTTCTTGTAGACTGGGGTGGAGAATCCTTTATCAGTACAAAAGTCTCTGGTTCATCAAATGGGTTCAAGTATTGTGGAGTCCGGGCGCCTTTAAAGGGATGACAGCTGTTATTATAAAAAGATTCTTCTGGTTTTTTAGGTGAAGTTGTTTCAGTGATTGGTTCTATAAAACAACAGTAAAAGACGGGTTAAAAGATCAGCATATAATGTTTTCAATAATAGGCATTCTTGAATTAATGAACTACAAGGTTGAGAGAGTGCAATAATGAATCAAGTAGATATTTTTGAAGAGCTAGGGAACCCTGAAGCTCAACAAAATGTAAACTGCAGGATTTCTGCCTACGTCTTTAGGAAGAGAACTCTTAAACACTGCCTCTTCAGATTGCTAATGTCTCATGGCTGCCTTGAAAATGCGCATGCACAGGTATGTATGTGCATGTGGTTTATGCACGTGAGTTAGATCCTCAAAAAGCTTGAGTTACAAGTGATTGTAAGCCTCCTGAGATGGGGGCTATGAAATGAAGGAGGGTCTTCTGTGAGAGCATTAATTTATGTTAGTTATTAAAATAAGATGGAAAGCAATGGACAAAGATATCTTTCCAGCCCTCCTCATGACAGTCTTTGGAGTGTCTAACACCAATAAGACAGTATATAAACTTCAGAGGTTCTAAACTACTTAGAAGTGCAGAATTACTGTTTACCTCTATCCAAGCTTTCCATCCCCAAATGAAGTCCGGTAACTTGGCGTTTAAGAGCATAAAAATGGATTATACTTTTAAGTGATACTTGGTGGCTCTGCCCGTGCATACCACCAAGGCCTCAAAGCACCTATCCTGGGCTGCGCACAACACGTGCTCACACATCACTGGTGGCCACAGCAGGTAGGCCCTTACCGGGGCTTGTGCACTCTGCCACCGAGCTGTTTATATCCAGAGCTAAACTTCTTAGAGCCAATAAACTTGAACCCAATCAACAAGACTAGCACAAGGAAATTCAAGTTGGAATGCCGTATTAACACCCTGCTGGTGGGGCTGAGGCCTTAGCTTGGTGGTAGAGAGCTTGCCCGGCAAGCATAAAGACCCAGGTTCAGTCCTCGGTTCTGAAGAGAAAGGGTGTGCGAGGGAGAACACACCATGATATAGTGTAGCTCACAAACAGGCTACACTAAATTCACTTTTAAAACACTCAAATTAATTTGAAAACAAATCTGAACACAGTTTTGGTGATAAAAATAGGCATTTCTCAAAGAGCAAGCCAAAAAAACATAATATATTAAAAGTAATTTAAATTATACCAGACAACTCTAGCAAATAGGTAACAGAAAGCAGAAATTCAGTCTGGATCCGTGCAGCCACACAGCAGGCGTAATACACAACCGCTGAGGGGCGCAGGGGCTGGGGCAAGGGGTGGGGACGGGGAATGCAGAGGGGCAGGGCCCAGGGGCTGTCACTCTAGCCTAGACTGTAAGCTCTGATTGGAGAATCTGTTTCAAAAATAAATTAAATAAATAGGATGGAGAGCAATAGAGAAAGATATCTTAGTTAACCTCTGTCTCCCAATTATTACCACTGTCACAATCACAGCAAAAAAAAAAAAAAAAAAAAAAAAACAAAAAAAAACCCCGATCGTTTTATAAGTAACATCTCAAGAAACTTAATCTAATTATTATGTGACTTTCTGGAACTCCATCTGTTTCTGCCTCTCACCAGTAAGATTACAGACCTCCACCCCCATGCCAAGTTTTTTACATAGGTGCTGGGGATCTGAACTCGGGTCCTCATGTTTGCACAGCAAGCATTTTATCTGCTGAGCCACTGGCCCCAGTCTTTCCTCCTTTAGAGAATTACTGTTATTTATGTATTGATTCTTTTCCCTGCATGCATACAACACAGCACTTGTATGCCTCGTGCCCTTGGAGGTCACAGAGAGCATTAGGTCCCCAGAGTTTCAGTTCCAGAGGTTATTAGCTGCTGCATCAGCACTGGAAGCTGATCTCATGGCCTCTTCAATAGAAACAAGTGATTGTCTTGCTGAGTCATCTCTCCAGCACCGTTCATTTAATTGAAATGCTAAGGTTTATACTGGCCAAGTTGGTGTCAATCTGCTGGGATGAAGTGACCTCTGGCTTCTGCCTCCTAAGTAGATGCTACTATAGCCACAATCTACCAAACTTCCATGCTCAGCTTGCAATTTTCAAAACTTAGAGTCAAACAACTTATATTTTACAAATTAGCCTGGAAAACTTATTTTTTCTTTTCACCAAATCAAACCCCTCTGAGCTAGGATTTTGTATATTAAAATGGAATAATTAGAAAAGAATTCATAAAATCATAATAAATACTGAAATGAATTTAAATACAGCTAAAACTATACAGAAACGTTTTAGCAATGATGTCTTTTAATACTATTGAAACATTACTAACATTTTAAAATTTTTATTTATTTTTTATTACAATTTATTCACTTTGCATCCCAGCTGTAGCCACCTCCCTCAGCCCCTCCTAATTCCACCCTCCCTCCCTTTTCTCCTCCCATGCCCCTCCCCCAGTCCACTGACAGGGGAGGTTCTCCTCCCCTTCCATCTGACCCTAGCCTATCAGGTCTCATCAGGACTGGGTGCATAGTCTTCCTCTGTGGCCTGGTAAGGCTGTTCCCCCATCAGGGGGAGGTGATCAAAGAGCAGGCCATTGAGTTCATGGCAGAGACAACCCCTGTTTCCCTTACTAGGGAACCCACTTAGACACTGAGCTGCCATGAGCTACATCTGTGCAGGGGTTCTAGGTTATCTCCATGAATGGTCCTTGGTTGGTATATCAGTCTCAGAAAAGGGCCCTGGGCCCAGATTTTTTTTTGGTTCTGTTGCTCTCCTTGTAGAGCTCCAGTCCCCACCAGGTCTTTCAATTTCCCTCTTCTTTCATAAGATTCCCTGCACTGTGTCCAAAGTTTGACTATGAGTCTCAGCATCTGCTTTGATACCCTACTAGGTAGAGTCAGAGGCCCTCTGTGGTAGGCTCCTGTCCTGTTCCCTGTTTCCCCCCTCTTCCAATGTCCATCCTGTTTGCATTTCTAAATGAGGATTGATCATCTTATCCAGTGTCCTCCTTCTTGATTAGATTCATTAGGTGTACACATTTTAGTATGTTTATCCTATATTATATGTCTGATATCCACTTATAAGTGAGTATATACCATGTGTGTCTTTCTGTTCCTGGGATTCCTCATTTAGGATGATCTTTTCTAGTTCCCACCATTCACCTGTAAATTTCATGATTTCCTTGTTTTTCATTGCTGAGTAGTATTCCATTGTGTAAATGTATCACACTTTTGTATCCATTCCTCAACTGAGGGACATCTGGGTTGTTTCCAGGTTCTGGCTATTACAAATAAAGCTGCTACAAACATGGTTGAGCAAATGGCCTTATTGTGTACTTGAGCATCTTTTGGATATATGCCTAGGAGTGGTATAGCTGGATCTTCCTAATTGTCTGAAAAAGTACCAGATTGATTTCCAAAGTGGTTGTACAAGTTTACATTCCCACCAGAAATGGAGGAGGGTTCCCCTTTCTCACATCCTCTCCAGCATGTGTTGTCACTTGAGTTTTTGATCTTAGTCATTCTGTTGGGTGTAAGGTGAAATCTCATGGTTGTTTTGATTTGTATTTTCCTGATGACTAAGAACATTGAGCATATCTTTAAGTGTTTCTCTACCATTCAATATTCCTCTGTTAAGAATTCTTTTTAGCTCTGTACCCCATTTTTTAGTTGGATTACTTGATTTGTTGGTGTTTAACTTCTTGAGTTCTTTATATATTCTGGATAATAGCTCTCTGTCAGATATAGGGTTGGTAAAGATTCTTTCCCAGTCTGTAGGCTGTCGTTTTGTTCTGATGATGGTGTCCTTTGCTTTACAGAAGATTTTGGGTTTCATGACGTCCATTACTGATTGCTGCTCTTAGAGCCTGTGCTGTTGGTGTTCTGTTCAGGAAGTTGTCTTCTGTACCAATGAGTTCAAGGGTCTTCACCACTTTTATTTCTAATAGATTTAGTGTGTCTGGTTTTTTGTTGAGGTCTTTGATCCACTTGGACTTTAGTTTTGTGCAGGGTGATAAGTATGGATCTATTTGCATTTTTCTATATGTAGATATCCAGTTAGACTAGCACCATTGTTGAAGATGCTATCTTTTCTCCATTGTATGGTTTTGGCTTCTTTGTCAAAAATCAAGTATGCATAGGTGTATGGGTCTATTTCTGGGTCTTCTATTCAATTCTATTAATCCACCATTCTGTTTCTATACCAGTACCACACAGTTTTTATTACTGTTGTTCTGTAGTACAACTTGAGATCAGGGATGGCGATGCCTCCAGAAGATCTTTACAGATCTGTACAGGATTGTTTTAGCAAGTCTGGGTTTTTTGCTCTTCCGTATGAAATTGAGAATTTTTCTGTCAAGTTCTGTAAAGAATTGCGTTGGTATCTTGATGGGAATTGCATTGAATCTAAAGATTGCTTTTGGCAGGGTGGCCATTTTCACTATGTTAATCCTACTGATCCATGAGATTGGGATAACATTTTTATTATAATGCAAGGAAAGCATTTTCTATCCTCTGTAGGGAAAGGGAACATGGAAATTTCTCAACTTTTTATTAACGAATTCTAGAGCACAAATACTTAAGCTACAGAAAACTGATCAACAAAAATAAATTTTTTATTTCTACTTTCAAGATAATAATTATAAAAACTGAGCTGAGCAAATTTATCAACTATAAACCAAAAGCAAAAAAGTAGGTACATCAATTCAGCCTGGGCTCCACAGTGTATGTGTGTGCACCTCTTAAGACAGAGAACATGAAGTTGGGTGGGTAGAGAGGTGGAGAGGACCTGAGAGGAGTTGGAGGACAGGAATATATGTTCAAAATACACCATCTGAAATTCTCAAACAATGAGATGTTCTTCTTTATAAAGTAGACAAACTGCAAGGTACAATTTACTGACAATAGCCAGCCATGAAGAACTTCAGAATATTTCACATACACAGCAAGAAATACAGTAATTTTAAGTGAGTCACTGAAGTACTGAATTTTTTAAAGGTGAATGAATGAATGAATGAGAATTAAAACTGTAATGAAAAATATAAAAAATTACAATACATTTTCTTCTTCAAACACTTTCGTTTATTGAGGATACAAATTTTGAATTGGCAAATACTTGGGAATACTCAAGTATTTGGGAATACTTATTCTGAGATTTCTAGTCGCATACAGTAAAGAGAATAATAGCTGCTCCATGTCTTGTTAACTGTCTTCACCTAACTACGAACTCTGAGTGAGGAAGGCTCACTACTTCCAAATAGAAATCGGCAGTCTTATACGGGCACCACACAGTCCACGATGTGACTACTCTTCCCACAGGTGGTTTCACATATATTTAGCAAAATTACATATTTAGTTTTGAAATGAAAAGCCTAAATGCTGGCATCTTGAAAAAATTTCATAATACTTTCAAGCGTACAAACTCAGAGATCTATAATGTATAATCAAGAGCAACGTGTCATTCGCCTCAGTTCCAGACCCCTGGGCTTCACGAGCCTTAACCATCTAACCTATTGGAAGTGGTTGCCTCTCAGACTTACTACAAATCTATTTTGACATTATTAGTATCTTAAATATGTTCATAATCTATAGCTCACAGACAAAATTAAACTGACTAATCTGGAGTGAGGAAAGAGAGCAATGAGAAAGAAAGGACCCTGAAATGACACTGCCATGAAGCAGCAATTCCTGAAGCTCCAACTCTTCCCACTCTGACAGTCAGTCACCAAATTATTCAAAGCTCGTAAAGATTTCATAGGAGCAGGCAAAAAGATGTAAACAGTAGCTAATCATTCTTGCGTTTACCCTGAGCAAGGAGTTTAATTAAACAGCAGTCTCACTTTTCAACAGCCCTTACTCAAGCATTAAGAGTTTAAAATGACTTGGTAAGAAAAACGATTTAGGGAGAAAACTTTTGGATTTACTCCATACAAAATAGGATTGTGCATGGGCTTATGCATGGACTTACGCATGGGCGTGTGCATGGGCGTGTGCATGCGCTTGTGTGTGTGCGTGCATAAGACTGCGGTGGTTCTTCCTTCTCTGCTCCGTACTATCACACACACACAACTCGCAGCGTGAAGTAGCTGGCTGCTGGATGCCCTGGACATCAGAGTGCAACAGCTAAGTGAGGAGAAAACGGTCTCATTTCATCCGCATCAGCATGTTCCACAAGGCGGCTTCACATGGTACGCCCACCAAGGAGGCTTAAAATACCCAACAGGTAAACTACTATCTCAGTAGCAGATCTTTTACCATCTTTTTCATCAGCATGATAGAGAGGGATTAATAAATGATCAACTGCAAGTAGTATTAAGTGCAATAATAATTTAAACAAACTGCCTTTTGAAAAAAAAAATGCCCTCACAGTGCAAGAAAACACAACTATACACAGAGTTTTTGTGTTAATTATAATTTTCTACAAAAAGAAGCTTCTCAGATAAGGGTTAGGCCATGAACTGACCTATGGGTATAGCAATACATCATTAGGGGTCATCACTTTACTGCAGACCACGTGTGGAGACGAACATATTACCTTCTGAGTCAGGGTCTCCAAATGGATTTAATTCTGTTACATCAGGTTCATCAAAAGGATTTGTATTCACAGTGGCCAACTCCTTCTGTGCTTCATCCAAAAAGTTAAGTGTGTTGATAAGTTCTGAAAATAAATGCATGTGTAAAGCTCATCACAGTTACAATGAATCATGGGTTTTGGTAATTCATGAGATATTTCAAAATATCACATCAAAATATTTGAAATTCACATTAATAATACCTGCAAATAATAAGACAGTATTTTATGAGTGGCAGAATGCCATTCAAGTATTTTGTAGTACACCAATATTTGAAAATAAACCAAAGGGGACATATTAAACTTGGGAACTATATCAGATAATGAACTATACTAAAGAAACTTGCTATGCCAACTAAATTTGATTTTCCAGTGCTAAATAGACTTGCAGAAGAAGTCTTTTAAGCAAATACAGACATGCGTACTCTGGACAGTGTATGTATAACAGTAAGCTCAGTGAAGCAGCAGCAGCCTATGTGGTTAAAAACACGCAGATGATTCAAAATAACTCATATCAAGACATTTTCTAGCAAATTTGTTAGCGATAAGGTTTGCTATCTTGTTGCCTGGTGGTGTGCTACAAATTACCAAAGAGAACATTCAAGAAGGTACACAATGACAAAACTGACAGGTAAGCAGACAGAAGTCAGAACGTAGCAAGTCACAGTAAACAGGCAATCAGAGCAGAGGGAGGAGAGCTTTAGACCTTCAGAGGAACTGGCTGATTTAGCTGAAGGCATATTTGCTTGCTTTATGCAGTCATCTTGATCTTCATCTAAGCTGCTCAGAGCATTCAACTGGTTTACAATTTCTGTAAACAGAAGCCAGTCAAGACAAATGTAAGGTCAGGTCACTGAACTAAAGACCAGTAGAAGCATGCTGTTATCAAAAACAGACAGGAGACATTGATTAATCAAGAAATATATTCAGAAATGTTACTTTGATGGATTATAACAAAGGCCAATAACTGGAGAGTATTGCAATCATTTTACTGTTAACATTTTATTAGCAGCATAATCACTATGTTAATAAACACAAAACATTAACAATAAATAATGTAAGAGGTTTATACTGGATTTTGACAACTCTAAGAAATAGCAATAAACGTCTTCAGAGAGTCAGTCACTATTTGTCTTGCAAAATTCTTAATTTAAACTAAAGAATTTAAGACTTTCTCTATCTGAATAATACACAAAGTAATTCTTCATGTTCTACTATGTTAAAAATCAGCAAGGAAGAAGTAAGAACAGGAAGTAGCTACTATTCTCTCCTCCAAAAGCACGGTACTTACCCCATAAAAGACAGACTGAAGACAAGGATAAAGAAGAAAACCACAGAACTTATTTGCAGATGAAAATTATCTTTATACATGAATCATAAACAATATAAAAAGGCCTCACTAGGGTCACCTGCTTAGTCCTCAGCATTTCCAAAGCTAAGCCTAGGACAATGTTATATATGAAGATGAACTAAACAAGTCCATACCATTTTGTGGAAAATGAAGAAAACAAAAATATACAGCAGTTTAAATTTAATATCAATACATCTGTTCTTCAGCACTATAAATTTAAGTATGCAATAAATTTTATTTGAAGCAAATCAAAGAATGTTTGTGATAGCATTACCTTCATACACTTAATTGTTTGAACAGATATTTATTTGTCAGCCTGTGCCAAGGCTTCTGCTTGGCACACAAGGATGAAAAGAAACAGACATGGTATTGTCTCCAGAAAATTTTCATTCTACAAAGACACTAATAAGTAATACTGAAACATACTTAATAAGTAACTAAACGTATATTAGGCTTTCAGAAATGTTATAGGTCTTTGAATGAAATTTATATAAAAATCAATAAGCTTATCAATTTCCTATATCCAAATGAGAAAATATATTTTGTCTGAGTCAAACTGCTTTAGAGAGTGAAAGTCAAGCACTGAAAACATGGAATAAACAAAATCAAACCCAACTGAACTCTATGACCCTATTTGAAAAGCAGCAAAAAGGGAAAACTGTATCTGACTGGATAATACTTAAAAAAAAAAAAAAAAACTTTATTACAATTACTTATTTTATGGGGGCAGGGTAGATGAGTACATCATCATAAGCCTGGTGGAGATCAGAGGACAACTTGTATGAGTTGGCTCTCTTCTATCATGTGAGTCCTGAGCTTGGCAACAGCACCCTTCCCCTACTAAGTCATCTCTCCAGCCCTTCCTGTGCTAAAAACATTAAAAAAAGTTTTGAACATTATTTTTATTTAACTATGTATGAATGTGTGTGACTGTGTGAGTATGTGCACAGATCAGTGCAAAAGGCCACAAAGTCCACAAGAAAATGTCAGATCCTCTGGATCTGGGGTCATGTGGTTGTGGGTGCTGGGAATGAACTCAGACACCTGGAAGAGGAGCATGCGTTCTAAAGCACCAAGCCATCTCTTCAGCCATCTGGGTTCATGGCTTTAAATCTTGCTCTGGAATTCAGGTTACAGCAAATTCAGTAGGAAAATTCATTCACAGATTCCATGCTTTCCTCCCCACTAATCATTGTAACACAGTGATTTTTATAAAAGCATAATGAGTCGGAGGAGTAGTAATGTCCAGGTGTTTAGTAGTCATTACTGAGCTTTTTATTTATTACTAATTGTGTAACTTTGAAAATTTTGCAAGTCATATATTATTAACTTTGAAAAATGAGCAATAAGAAAACAAATAATGCCACCAGCTAAGATGCATTAGGCAGTAGGAAAGGCTTTACATATATTATCAGCCAATCCTCGCAAACGGCCTGTGGTGATATTTATAATATGTGTGTCCACCTCGCATATTAGTATTGTTTATTTGCCTACATTTCCAAGTGTGTAACTACTTTGTTGAAAAATTTTAAACAATACTCAAAGACTTAGTTTTTTTTAATTATTATATGTTTACAAATCTAATCTCAAAGAGCATAAGCTCACCACTAATTAAGTATCCCATAGGACGGTAGAAAACACTGAGGATGTTTTACTTCATGCTTACTACATGAAGATATTCCATGGAGTTTTACGTATAATATGTTCGAATATCATCAAAGTGAGTCTTCCAGGAAACTATTATTTACAACATAATTTTTCTAAATGTTTCAAACATTTCCTCCCTCTCAGCATGTTCCTGGTAATATTTAAAATCAATGGTGACTATTACTTTGTTAACAACCCAAAGCATTTATTTTTTCTATTATTTTCATTAATGACAAATCATCCTGTCCTTCCTGGCCTTGTGGATTTAATCTAAAGCTTAAGTAAATCCTTACTTCATTCCTAAAATTTTTGCTTCTAGGATTTTTTTCTTATATTAATGGGATGGAGAGGTAATCATGATTGTCTATACCTACATTCCTCATGTGTAATCTAAATAAATGTTAATCCAAAAATTTTAAATCTCCAAGGAAGTAGCACTTTTGTTACCTACTTCCGCGTCTGAGCTAGTGCTGCCCCCGCGGCTCTGCGCTCCATTGTGACATGAGGGTGTCAAGGAAGCGGTCAGACAACACTCAGTGAAGCTAGGACAGGCCGTCTCAGGGGACTGCTTCCTGGAGTTTTACTTGGATGTGTTTTAACACCGACCGAACAGTATTGTGATAACCATCATAAAACAAAAAGAACATAAAAGGAAGCAAAGGGAACTTGACTTATTTCAGGAATTAGAGGTGTTTGGGGCTTACTCCAGGGACAGAGAGCACAATGCGACAAGGCTGGCAATGTCCGGCCGTGAACTTCACTCTGAGAGCTATGGGAAGCCACCATCAGATGCAGTGAATGCTGTATCAGCCGCCTGGTGTTGGGGGACTGCAGAGAGCAGCCCTGGAACTATGGCGAGGACTATTTTGCTGGGAACAATTTGTGAAACTTCCTATGTAAATACTTCAGCTGGAAGTTGCTCCGTGGGTCTAGAGCCTGAAATACCTAGTCTTCTTAGTTATCCTGCTGAAAGAGTACTTTTCTGTTTCTTCCAAATCACCAAATTAATTTTTCTTTTCATTGGAAAATGTTAAAAACTTCAGTAAGATTACAACTAAGTTAATGAATTTTTTTTTAAATGGAAGATGTTCACAAGAAACACATCATCCTGGCCCAATATATATGTAAGTGTGTGTGTGTGTATACCTATTAAAGCCTTATTTCCCTGGGAATGTGCATACATAAGAAATATTAACAATGCTGTGTAATAGTGCAGAAAAAATTCTACCCTACACTACTGTTCAGATTGAGCAGTCAACTCCCAGAGCAAAGCACTTGTAGAGCTGTGCTTACTGGCCTCGACTTGCTTCACTCTGTACAGCTAAGGGAAAGAAATTAGAGGCAGGCAATCGAAGCAAGGGGTCAAGTCATTTGTGACTTTTCCTTACTGTTAGAAGTTAAAAGATAGAACTGGCCAACAGATTAACACATTGTAAATAGGAAGGCAGCATGGAAAGTAGGAGGCTGTTTACTCTTAAGAAACCCTGTAGGTTAAGTTAAAGGAAAAAGATAAACTGCCTAAAGCTAGCACATACCTGAGACTCTTGTCATCTTCATCCTTCTCTTAAGTATAACTAGTTTAGTAGCAATACATCTTACTTTAAGATAGCCCCAAATAGTAACACCTCAACTTCCTGGCAAAGATCAAGGTCAAAAAGATGTCACTTTCCTCAAAAGCTTAAGCCTGCACACATTTGATTTATGGATACATCTAACAGGTTTAGTAATGCGATTTTCAAATAGCAGCAAATCAGAATGGAGAAGGGAAGCAGAGGCTGCTTCAAGCAGGCAAGTCGCTAGGGAACATTCATTCTCCTTACATCTTCAATCGGCCCCTCTCCAGCTGTCCCTCCTAACAGCTCATATACAATAAAGTTGCTCTCCCACCCTCAGAGCTAAGCCCTTCAACCATTATTCATGCTTGTTTGACCAGTCTTTCTACCCAAGTCTCTTAAACATGATGTCTTTTTTGTTTGTTTTGGTTTAGATTTGTTTGTTTGGTTGGTTGGTTGGTTGGTTGGTTTTTGTTCTTTTGAAACAGGGTTTCTCTGTGTAGCCCTGGCTGTCCTGGAGCTCACTCTGTAGACCAGGTTGGCCTCGAACTCATAGAGATCCACCTGCCTCTGCCTCCTGAGTGCTGGGATTAGAGGTGTGTTCCACCACCGCCCAGATAAATAGCACATCTTAGAAACATAGGCACCTGTAATTTTTTTAAAGTGTGTATGTATGTGTAACCATAGAAGCCAGAAAATGTTTTGACTACACTGGGGCTAGAGTCACAGGTGAACGCTGTCAAAGTTAGTGCTACAGAATGAACGCGAGGCCCTGAAATATCAAACAAGGGCTCTTCCCTGCCAACCCATCTCTCCAGCCCCGTGTTCTGTAAATTTTCACCCATCCTCAACACTTAACTCCCTCCACGTTGCAGTCATCCATACTCCACGCCCACTTTTCATCGTCCTCATTGACCCTGCTCTGAGTCCGCAAATGTCTGTGTATCTGTGTGTTTTGGAGTCAGGGTCTCACTATGTAGCTCAGGCTTGCCTTGAATGTGCAGTGATCTTCATACCTCAGCCTCCTGGGTGTTAAGATTGCATGTATGTACCCCATGCCTGGCTCTCACCAAGGTAAATTGTAACTGGCACAATTATGACATCAAATATGGAGAAATAACCTGGAGCTCGACTAGAAGCTTCACTCCTGTTGTTCAGCATGCAGCGTGCTGGAAGTTACCATACATGCTACCAGAGGAGGAAGGTGGGATCCTGTGGGCTACAGTAGTAACTGCAGCAACTACATTGCTAGAATGGTGC